AGAATCTCATAAGCTGCAGAGTGAGGAGTGTCCAGATGGGAATGGGTGGCGGCTAGAAAGGGATCCAGGAAGCATGAGGAGTCTGGGCCCGAGATGCATGCCTAAGGGGTTGCTGGCACCAGCTGGGTTTCTATTAAACAAACTCTCGGTAAATCCCGAGATTTGCTGTTTGCTGATGTTAAACTCGGCTGTCCGGCCCTACAAAGGAAACGTTACGCCTAAAACTCTGGAAAGCATTCTTTGAAGACTTTAGTTCTACCTCAATAAGGCATATCGACTTCCCGATCAGTATTTGTCCCTCGCAGTTTGTCACTGGAGATGTCGAAGGGACTTAATTTGTTGAACTGTTCTTGAAATTCAGTAAAGTGCATGAAACATGATCTTTTGTGCTCTGCTTTAAAAACTCTTCCTAAGACACCTACAAAGACATTGAAAACAAAAGAGAGCAGAATTTTGCTTCTATAGAGGGAGAAACTCTGGATGCATGCACACTACCCTCTCCCTACAAACGGAGTAAAAATATTTGCCTTTATTTGAACAAAAATACAGTGACTTGATCTCACCTAAATGGCATGGTTTGATTCGTTGGATTTTATGAAAACAGTAACTTTATAGCTACTGGATCTCTTTTGTTTTCTTCCTAAGAGTGTTTTAAAAATGCATAAACTTTTCATCTAAATCTTAATCTAAAGATTTTCTTTAGAAAATCTTATCATCTTAAAGTCTTAAAACTTTATCATCTTAAATCTAAAACTTATCATCTTAACCATTTTTTTTAATTTTTTTAAATTTTTTATTTATTTATGATAGTCACAGAGAGAGAGAGAGAGAGAGAGAGAGGCGCAGAGACATAGGCAGAGGGAGAAGCAGGCTCTATGCACCGGGAGCCCGATGTGGGATTCGATCCTGGGTCTCCAGGATCGCGCCCTGGGCCAAAGGCAGGCGCCAAACCGCTGCGCCACCCAGGGATCCCCATCTTAACCATTTTTAAGTGAATGGTTCACGGCATTGTTAACGTTTATTCACGTTGTGACGCAGCCAATTTCCAGAACTTTTTCATCTGGCAAAACAAAACAAGATCTTTTTCTATGGGCTTCCTGATGCCCTATTAACCTCCCAACAACACGGACACATGTCTACGATTTTACTTAAGAGGCAGATATAAGTGCCTTTTGTGATGGAATCTGACGCGTCTAAAACATGACGCGTAACATCCATGTAATTTATGAGATTTTTCTGGAATAGCCTGGGGCGCTCACATCACCAACTCATTGTCGACGACGGTTTTCTCTCCACACCCACGCCATTCAGAACATTTAATCTTCTAATATGTTTTGGCTCCTTTTTTTGTTTGTTTTGTTCCATGACCCTCTTCTCATTCTCATTTCCTTATCTTCTTCTTTTTTTGAGTTCAACTGGGAGATTTTAATAATACTGGCCCAAACTTAGGAGTAGATGGAGTGGCCAGCGCACGACCGAAGGGGAACTGCAATGGCCCTTGTGGAACCGAGGGAGGACTCTACTGCTTTCTGGTAAAATATTGGCCTTTTTGCAAATGCGAATAAGCCCAGCGGGTACAGTTCCAAGCCCGGCGCTCCCTCGTGTGGGCGTTTCTGCGCCAGTGAATACAGGTAGGAGTCTTAGAAGTCAAAGGTTTACCTGGGGATCCCCAGGGCCAAGCTGGGAAACACTAAAAGGCTGTGATCCAGGGTCTGGCCAATTGCTTCTCTCTCTCCATCAGTCACGACTGAGAGATTAATTACCCCATGCTCTGTGGGCACTAAGTTACCCCCCAGGCTCCATCTAGCAGGAGGATAAGAGCCCAGACGGGAGGGGGCTCCTTCGGGGAAGGCAGAAGCAGCGGACGGGTAGGGGCGGCCACCCTTCTCGTATCTTGTTCCAGACAGGGTCGGCAGGAAGCAAGGATGCCGAGGCAGAGGGCAGGCCTGACTGACAGTCGCCGCTATGTCTGGTCTGGTCCTCCTGGTCATTACGTTCTAAAATGCTCTCTATGATCATTAGTAAATAGCCCTTGTGCCCCAGGACTTTGTGGACGGGCCCCCACCCTTGCGCCATATGCAGCCACTAAAGGGTTAATGTTTGCTCAGCTGGGGCGGGGATCCTTATAGGTGGTTACATATTTTGTGCATCGAGTTCCCGGAGGAGACTCTGCAGCGGAGACAAGCCTCTCATACTCCGCATTTCACCAGGCCCCTCTGCTCCTTGACTGTTTCCCATCATCACGAAGCCGCTGTAGTACCAGGTCATGGGGCATTTCCTACACTTGGCGTGGGGCGGGGTGGGGGGTGGATGCCGGGGGAAGGTCTCAGGACCATCCTGCACAAGGATGCCCTGGGCCGGCTCTGGAACTGTGGGTAGGGATGCTGCCCGCAGGGGAGAGAAACTTCCCGCATCCTTTGAACCAGAATCTTGGGACGGTGGTGGTGGCGGTGGTGGTGGGGTGATGTTTGCCGTCCTTCCTGTGCACTCCCTTTAGGAAACACATGACTTTATCCTGTCTCCTTAGATGTCGTCACTCTTCAAGAAAGCCAGTGGTCAACAAGTAGTTTTTTTGGGGGGTGTAACGAGCAGCAGAGTCCTGGCCAGCTTTCAGAAATAGGGGCGAGGGCAGTTTTTATAGACACCATAAACAGGAAAATGAATCTCCAAGATCTTTCCTTGTAAAGGAATCCTCGGGGACTCACGAAATCAGATCCCATTAGCACATTCTGGCCTCCTTCCGAAGCAGCACGGGCTGTGGCGGATAAATTCATTGAAAAATATTTTGAGTATTGCAAGAACAATCTGGCCTTGGGTGACACTGCTTCCAGCCACGAGAGACATCAATTCAGAGACATCTCCCTGGAAATTAAAACCACAGTGAAATATCCCCTCCACCGGTCAGAACGGTCGGCCACCATCAAGAGACAAAAGATAACAAACACCGGCCAGGACGTGGCGAGAGGGGACCACTTGGGCACCGCTGGTGGGGATGGAAATCGGAGCCCGGAGGTTCCTTGGAAAAATTGAAAACAGAACTCCCGTGCGACCCCGCAGGCCCGCTTCCCAGGGGGAGCTCGGAAGGAGACACAATCATCATCCTGGAGAGGCGCCTGCCCCTCCGCAGGCCGCGACGCTGCTCGCAGGAGCCGAGGCATGGAAACAGCCCGGGCGTCCGTCGACGGGCGATTGGGTGAGACGGCTGCATGGCACAGACCACCGGGCACACACGCAGGACGGAGTGTGTCCAGCCGCAATACGGAAGGGGCTCTTGCCACGCGCAGCCCCCCGGACACAGCTTGAGGCCATCGCGCTGAGTGGGGCAGGTCACACGGAGCAACACAAGTACTGTGGGATGCACTGACATGTGGAATCTAAAAAAACCAAAAAACCCCAAAGTCCTAGAAACAGACGGGACCTGTAATCGCCGGAGGGGGGTGTCGGGGGGAGAGGGGGTAACGGGCCTGACGGCGGCCACAGCTAAGAACGCCGAGTGCTGCGTCCACGCGGACGTCCGGATGCGCGTTTACCTGCCCGAGACCGTCGTTGCAGACCTCGGACCTCCACTAGGCCCCGTGTCCGTCGTATCTCAGTAGCACCCCACGGCAGCCCCACGCCCGCCAGGGTCCATGCAGCCTCGCGGAACGCGGCCCCATACTCCTGTTGCAGTAGGTACCATGTGGGGCCGTTCCTCGGCGGGGGGCGGGGAGGGGGCTGCTGCTGACTCCTCCGGCCTCGCCTCTGCCATCAGGTCAGCGCCTGGTTCTCCTTGTTGCACGCTGCCGAGGGGTTGCCTATGGTGCCCGGAGCCCTCAGCAGGGCCGGCCCCAGCCGTGGGCACCTGCTCTGGGCAACGTGGGGGACCGGGTGGGGGGACCAGGCAGGGTACCAGGTGGGGGACCGGGTGCCACTGCGAGGTCACTGCCCGCTGCCCCTACTTTGGAGCCCCCTGCAAACAGTCGTTGAATTTTTTGTTTCTTCCCATCAGAATTTCAGGCTGGGGAACGTGCTTGTGTTGGACTCGGCCCGGAAAGCGCGGTGGCCGCCCCGGCCCTCCCCTCCCCTCCCCTCCCATCCCCTGCCCTCCGCGGCCCTCCCTTCCCTGCGCACCGCCCCGAACCCGCCACCAACAGTGGGAAGGAGCGCGGAGCCCCGCGGCCTGCACCTGCCACCCGAGGCCGGCGCCTGTCCGGCTCCTGCACGCGCGTGTGACCCGCCGGACCGTGTCCCCTGCACACCCCGGTCGGTGGAGAGGCCGGAGGGCTTCGCCGCGCTCCGAGTCTGCGGGGGAAGCAGGCTCGGAAAGCGGGGCGTTGGGGTTTCTCCCCTTTATTTGGATATGACTGTTTGGACTTCCCCTGTTCGGGGGCCTGGGGCCTGAGCAGATGAGCGGCCACATTTTGCTGGAGTGCAGCAGGTGACAGCGGGCGACCCGGCCCGAGGCTGTCGGCGGAGGGGGGTAGGGGGGACGCCGGCCACGGCCCCGCGGTGGCTCCTGACGGGTGACTGTGACGGGGACGGGGCGGGTTTTCCGGGCCCTGAAGCCCGAGTGCGTAGACCCGGGCAGGGCCTGCAGGGCACGCAGCCTGCGGACGTCAGCTACCGCGAGCGAAGCAGGGGGGCACTTACTATTACGAGAAATAAGGGGCTGGAGGAGGCCCTGTCTCAGGTGGGCGGACCGGCTGCCAAGGCCAGAGTGGCCGTGGAAGCCCATCGGCTGGTGCAACTCTGCACGCGTGATGTGGGCACGTCTGACACACGGTTCACAGCATCCTCAGCGCTGCAGCCCCGCGGCCACGGGGACGCTGTGCCCACTGACCGTCTCACCCCCGCCCGGACCACCCCCAGCGACTGGCCGCCCACCGAGCCACGCGAGCCTACGCCACCTTGGTCTCCCTTGTAGGAGCATCTGCCCCTAGACCCCTTCAAAGAGGTTCTGGTCACCGTCTCTGACTCCCGGGCCTGCAGGCCTTGTGTCACCTTGGGCTCGGGGCACTTACCACGGTGCAGCACAGGGGCCAGAACCACCAGAGGAGAGCCAGGGCCAGCAGCAGGAACAGGATCAGCAGGGCGATTGCCAGGATGGAGCCGTCCGACTGTGGGGCCGAGAGAGAGGACGGTCAGCAGCGGGCCGGCCTGTGCGCTGCAGCCACCCGGGCCCTGGCCTGCCCTGCGGGCCACACGCTCCCCGCGGCCAGCTCTCTGCAGAAGGCCCGGCTCCCGGGGCCACGCCATGGCAGTGGCCTGGTGACATCCTCCCCCTCTGCACCTGCCCTCAGCCCCGCTGCCCTGGACTCACCCCACACATGCTCGGCCCCCCGCCCCGGAGCCCATCCACGGGCGAGGCCCAGAGCCAGTGCACAGCACGGGGTGGGGACACGGATTCAGGGCGGGGGGGCCGACACAGACCCCAGAGGCCAGGGCGGAGGCAGCTGAGTCATCCAGCGCTACCAGGCTCGGGCCACGGGCTGAGCGTTGCCCCTTTCGAACGTGCCCAGCCTGGTCCTGAAAGTTCGCGCGCTTGCCCAGGCCCGCGAGGGCTGCTAACCTCTAGCAAACCGAGGTCCCCGTCGGGTCGGGATGGCAGGGCTGCCAGCCCAAGGGGACACACTGACGTCTCCCCCCGCCCAACCCGGCCGCTGGCAGCAGAAAGGGAAGGAGTTTTAGGGGGTGTGGGGGGGGCGGGCAGGGCGCGGAGCAAACTGTCACGGGCGCGACCGTCACGTACTGTTCTGAGGACAGCCGGGAGCCCCACCTGGAGCCCTCCCACCCCCGGCAGTCAGCACGTTGGCACCTCCATGTCCTTTTCAGTGAGGGAGTGGCTGCTGGTGCAGCTACCGAGCCACTGGCCACCGTGTGGATGCTGCTGTCCAGCGATATTGAGACGACACGCGAAAGCGTTCCTGATAGTGACTGGGCTTCTGGTAAAGGTCAGGAGTGAGAGGGAAGGACCGAGGGGGCTGCACTAAAATATTTATAGTGGTTTTGCAGGTACTGGGTTTATGTAATTTTCTTAAAAGAAAAAAAATCGGTCTTGGGCGCCCGGGTGGCTCAGCGGTGGAGCGTCTGTCTGTCTTGGGGTCAGGGCGTGACCCCGGGTCCCGGGATCGAGTCCTGCATTGGGCTCCCTGCAGGGAGCCTGCTTCTCCCTCTGCCTGGGTCTCTGCCTCTCTTGTGTGTCTCAGGAATCAATAAATTTTTTAAAATCTTAAAAAAAAAATCTCTTTTCCCTTTCTTTCTTTCTTTCTTTCTTTCTTTCTTTCTTTCTTTCTTTCTTTCTTTCTTTCTTTCTTTCTTTCTTTCTTCTTCTCTTAACAATCAGTAGTAAGAAGATAAACTGCTGAAGTTGTTCTTTAAAAATCCATCCCTGGGCCCCCCTACTTTGGCGTCTGAGCTCTCCTGTCCCAGAGGCCCTTACCCAGGCCCGGTGGACCCACGGGTGTACGGAGGGGCTCCAAGGGGACGGGAGCGCGTGACGCCCTCGAAGTTACACCCATGATCTTCTTGGCCCGTGTCTGTCTCCAGGGGGGACCGTGGGCTGCACGATGAGGGGCTCGGAGCTGCCCCCAGCCCCCAGCCCGTGACGAGGCCTGAGGCTGGGTGGCCTGTTGAGGGTGAGCGCAGCAGGTCAGTGGCACCCTCGGGACAGGACTCCCTCCCACTCCCGGGGCTCAGCGGGGCTACTGGAAGCTGTTTAAAGGCAGCTCTGAGTCCCTGGAATGTCTTGGACTGAAGAGCCAGGAGCTAAGTATCCTGGTCCAACGGGCGGGGGCTTGGGAAGGCCGACTGTCCCCCGGAGGGTGCGGCCTCGAGGCAGGTGCAGGGCGGGTGGGGCGGGAGCCGCGGGGCCCAGGGCGTGGACGTGAGCGCTGCGGCACATCGAGCGGACTTCCCAGCCTCCCGGGCGGTCGAGGGTGACTCCTAACCCTTCAGGCTCTGCACCCCCAAAAGGAGACCGGAAGTCTCAGCTGCCCCGCTGCACAGTCAGGGGGACAAAGGAGCGCCCTAAGGTGCCGGTGGGCAGATGGCACGGAAGCTATGGGGCCAAGCGCCGCCCTTCCCGTCCACCTCCCACCGTGGCAAGGGGAGAGGAGGCTTGTGCCCTGGGGGGGAACCCCGGCAGCACCGAGACGCACCTGTGGCCGCACCTGTGGCCGGCTCTCCCCCAGCCAGGTGGGTCTGCTTCACCCAGGATGGAGCGGGGAGGAGGGGCACGGTTGGACAGAACCAGGTGCTCGCGGGGGGCCGGGAAGGTTGCACAAGCGGGACCCACGTGCAGGGGCTGCGTGTGATTCAACAGCGAACCCCTGCACCCCGCACCTGTCAGGTGGTGAACAGCACAGATGGTCTCTCTGAAGGAACTCACATTCTGGTGGAACGAGGAGGAGGATGATAGTCATTAGCACGACTCACCTATACGGAGCGCTCGCTGCGAGCCGGGGGCTGCTCTACGCGCTAGTGTACTTTCCCTTGGCAGCCCCTGGGACTCTCATCAACTACCTTAGGAATTTAATTATATTATTTCTAGGGATGCCCGGGGGGGCTCAGTGGTTGAGCATCTGCCTTTGGCGCAGGGCGTGACCCCGGGGTCCTGGGATCGAGTCCCGCGTCGGGCTCCCTGCGTGGAGCCTGCTTCTCCCTCCCTTGGCCTGTGTCTCTGCCTCTCTCTTGGTGTTTCTCATGAATAGATAAATAAAATCTTAAAAAAAGAAAAGAGAGAGAGAGAGAAATATCTGCCCTTTAAAGACTAGGCCTGAAGCGTCCGCATGAGAGATTAAACCATATTTTTAACGGCTGCACCTGCTCCGAGGGAAGCCTCGGCCCGTGGCCCAGTGTGGATCAAGGGGTCACACGGGTGACGCTGTATTTCAGAGCAAAGTCAGCGAGGGATGAGCCCACAGGGCAGCCACCCCCCAACCGTCCTGGATTGGAGCTTCGATCACCCGCGTGCCGTGGGACTGACCACTCGCGTGAAGACGGCCCCGTGAGCCCGCTGCGTGTGTGTCGGCGGCGTACGCAGGGCCGCCCCTGCGCAGGTACTGGGAGCGCTGGAAAGAGTTCAGAGGCCGAGCAAGGCAGTGGATGGGCCGCCAAAGACCGATTCCCACCATTGCTCTCATCCCGGCAGCCTAACCCTCGACACGAGTTAAATTCTTGTTTTGCTTAGAAAGTGAAAACAAAGCCTAAAACAACCAAAATGGCTCTTTGATTAGAAAAATATTCATCAGGAGGCGGTGGGCGGCGGCGGGGGGGGGGGGGATGCCCTGGGCTGTGTGACTGGAGCCGCAAGGCGCGTGGGGTGGTGCCTCTCCCAGTCGTGGGGGCGACGATCACCGGGTCCTTTAGGGAAGAGTGTGAAGCCTCCTAAATCCCACGGCGGGTGGGCTCGGCCATGCTCCTCCCGTGGGCTGCCCCTGCCGCCCCTGCTGCTGCCCCAGGTCCTCCCTGCACAGGCCCCAGGCCCACGGGGACGCGGGAAACTGCTTCCATCCCGGGCTTGAGTTTCCAGCGCATTCACCGCCACGCTCGGCCTGTCGTTACCCGACAATAAGGAAGGACCAGTGAGGTCCACACTTGGGGGGCGTCTCGCTCCTGGAGACGCACAGATGAGGCATCCTAGGCTTCACCGCAGCGGCCCTCCGACACCCCCTGCTCTCACGGCTCCCAGGACGGGCCCTCGCGACCGTCTCGATGGGGTCTGACGACGGCGCAGCCCCCTAGCCGAGGGCTCCCCGCCAGGCTCTGCGGACCCCGAGCATCAATACGGGCTCCCCAAGGTGTGCGGCGCTCACGGCGCCAGGCCAGGCTGCTCTGGGCCGCGGCCCGCGAACCAGCGAATCAGCAGCGTTAAGCTGCGCGTCGAGGGGCCCTTAGCCACACGTGGCCAGAGATTCGACCAGAAAATAGCTGGCGACCCGTTCAAGCTTCTCAAAAGCTGGTGATGCGACTTCCCTGGATCTGGCTGGTGAGGGACGATGCCACAGGCCGCTGCAGGACTGGCGAGCCCCACCCCCTCCTCCCCTCTCCTTCCTCCTCCTCCTCTTCCCCCTCCTCCTGGCTCCCTCTCCAGGTGACCATCTGAGGCACTGTGGGGAGGCCCTCGGGGACAGCGACCCTTCGTCTGGGGCCACCCTGGTCTCTGAGCACAACCACGCGGCCGCCTGCTGGCTCCCAGCACCGGAGAGGCCGACCTGGTGAGCGGGACGCGTGCGGAGACAAAGAGACTCGTCTCCTCTGGAGGTCCTGGGTGGGGGGGTGGGGGGGGCCCCTGTGCCCCCGGCTTCGGCCCCTCAGCTCCAGGCCTTCCCGTCTGGGGGCGCAGCTGGCGCTGGGAGGTGTCACATTCCAGAGCTCGGGGTGGAACGCACAAGCATCCCCAGCAGCTGGGCCGAGCTCCGCTTCCTGCCCAGACAAAACTGGCGGACCGCGGGCAGGTTTTATTTTGTAAGATGAAATTTAAGTCATTTTATTGCCGCTGAGACGTTCTGGATGAGCAAGCCCCAGAGACCAAGACTCTCTCGCCCTCTCTCACAGCTTATATATTCTATTATTTCTGGAAGCAACTTCAGCAATTATCTAACTTCTCCACCCAACCCGCCCTGCATTTTACTGGAATTTTATTCTCCTGGCATGTGAGACCGTACGGACTCTCCTGAGTTCCTTCCTCCTATCCCGTTACCCCTTATCCACCTTCCTCACGGGCTGCTCCTGGGCCCTTAAGGGCATGTGCCACAGATGCATTTTTTTGTTTGTTTTATTTTTGGAAAGGTATACAGTTTTTTTTTTAATTTTTTTTTTTTTTTTATTTATGACAGTCACAGAGAGAGAGAGAGAGAGGCAGAGACACAGGCAGAGGGAGAAGCAGGCTCCATGCACCGGGAGCCTGACGTGGGATTCGATCCCGGGTCTCCAGGATCGTGCCCCGGGCCAAAGACAGGCACCAAACCACTGCGCCACCCAGGGATCCCAGGTATACAGTTTTTACTTTGCTCGGAGCGTGTCTGCTTTCTAAATCTGCTTTAAAAAATCATGGTGGGACCGCTGGGGGGCTCAGCGGTCGAGTGCCTGCCTTCGGTCCAGGGCTTGATCCTGGAGA